TCTCTCACACACACACACACACACACACACAAAAAAAAAAAAAAAAAAAATATATATATATATATATATATATTTTTACACACTCACTCTCTCTCTCTCTCTCTCTCACACACACACATATATATATATATATATATATATATATATATATATATATATATATATATTTCTCTCTCTCACACACACATACATATATATATATATATATATATATATATATATATATATATATATATATATATATATATATATATATATATATATATATATATATATATATATATATAACATTAAATAAAGGTTAGTACAAAAACTAATCTAAATGTAGTCTGATTACTTTACCATAAATGTGTAAGGCAGAATATTATATTACTGAATACAGATTTTCATGTAATTTGTAATCATTAACTGATTATATTTCAACGTAATCTACCCAGTAATAGTAGGGATGTAATAGATTATATTAACCTAAACATTTTACTATTTTATTATTATTTATTTTGTTGTCTGCTTCAGTTCATGTGACATCAAATAAGGTGAGAACAAATGCAATCTAAATATAATCCAGAAGTAGTCAGATTACATTCATGAATGTGTAACATAAAAGATTATACTAAATACAGATTTATAATGTACTTTGTGATGAGTAATTCATTATATTTCATAATTAATCCCCAAGTAGTAGTAGGATAGTAATGGATTATATACACACAATCAGATTTCAAAATTAAGTTCTTGTAGTTAAAATACTTTTTTAATACATGTAATCAGACTACAGTTACCTTTTACGGATTACATGAATGCATAAAATTAGAAAGGGCAGAAAGTTGTTACTTTCCTCATTTTAATACTTTTTACAGGTTATCTTTTTAGTTATGCTTTATTTCATATAACATTAAATAAAGTTGAGCACAAAAAGTAATCTAAATGTAATCCAGAAGTACTGAGATTACATTACCATAAATGTGTAATCCACTCGATCATATTACCGACTACAGATTTAGAGATGTAATTTGTAATCAGTAATCCCCCTGCCTCTTGTTGTGCATCAGTAATGTGTGTGTTTCTGTGTTTCAGAACTTGTGGTCAGTGATTGCTCATGGAGTCCAGAGTTCATTCAGGAGCTTCTTCCGGCTGCGGAGCGAACGGCTCTTCTCTATCACCTGTCGTATCTGTGTTTGGGTGGATTTCCTAAACTGGAGCGTCTGATCAGAGAAAGAGCTCTGGAGACTCAGATGCTGTTTGGATCCTCTGAGGCCGTTCTGCTGAAGGTGAGCCTGAGTTCAGTCATATTCTGCTGTTTTCTATATTACAAATACTTTCAGTGTTTTACATCCCGCCACAATTTCACAGGTTCCTCAGAAATGTCACATAAATTGTGAGATAATAATCGAATTAGTTAGATGTGAACTTAAATCTTCAAGAAAAGGTCAGAACTGCATACTCTATTTCAAAATATAAGCCTCGAAGTTCATAAAAAGCAAGATATAGCGTCTGAATTTAAAAGGGAAAAAGGTTATAATTGCCCAATATGAACAGAACTCAATTAATAATAATTCAAATAATAAAAAGCAGGAAAATGACATAATTACAAGACGTAAATTCAGAATTCAATAAGTAAAAAAAGACAGATGTGCAAAAAATAAATGCAGAATTCATAGCAAAATAAGTCATAAATGCAAGCTCTAAATTGCAAGATGTGAGCTCACAGTTAAAATGAAAGTGCAGTTGTGTGATTGTTAAGTTGCAGATAATGGTTGTTTTCTTCTTCATTGTAGTGTGTGGGCACCAGCAGTAACCTGGTCACGTCTCTGTTCCCGATGCTGATGAAAGCTGTAGAAAAGAATAAACCAGTTCTGGCTGTGAAATACCTGGAGAAAGCCCGAAGCTGGATCGATGACATTATTAGAGGCGTGGAGGACATGGTGAAGAGGTGAAGACATCACATACTTGTGCATTATTTTACAGTGCATCCAGAAAGTATTGACAGCGCTTCACTTTTTCCACATTTGTTTACTTTTCCACCTTATTCCAAAATGGATTAAATTGATTGTTTTCCTCAACATTTTACACACAATCCCCCTTAATCACCATGTGGAGAAAGAGTTTTTGAAATTGTTGCAAATTTATTACAAATAAAAAGCTGTAAAACCAGATGTACATCAGTATTCACAGGGTTTGCTCGATACTTTGTTGATGCACTATCGGCAGTGATTACAGCCTCAAGTCTTTCTGAATATGATGCACGAGCTCTGCACACCTGTCTATAGGAATTTGTGCCCATTCCTGTTTGCAGTTCCTCTCAAGCTCTATCAGGTTGGATGGGAAGCGGCGGTGTACAGCCATTTTCAGATCTCTCAAGACATGCTCAATAGGATTTAGGTCTGGGCTCTGGCTGGGCCACTCAAGCACATTCACCCAGTTGTTGTTGTGCAGCTCCATTGATATGTTGGCGGTGTGCTTTGGGTCATTGTCCTGCTGGAAGATGAAGCGTCGGCCCAGTCTGAGGTGGAGAGCACTCTTGTGCAGGTCTTCATTCAGGATGTCTCTGTACATCGCTGCATTCATCTTTCCCTCTATCCTGACTAGTCTTCCAGCTCCTGCTGCTGAAACACATCCCCACAGCATGATGCCAACACCACCACCATCACTGTAGGGATGGTGTTAGCCTGGTGATGAGCGCCGCCTGCTGTTCTCCAAACGTAACGCCTGGCGTTCACTCCAAACAGTTCAGTTTGAGTCTCATCAGAGCAGAGAGTTTAGTTTCTGATGCTCTGAGAGTCCTGCAGATGGCAAACTCCAGGCGGGGAGTGTCTTCCGTCTGCCCGCTCTGCCATACAGATGCCTGATTGGTGGATTGCTGCACAGATGGTTGTCCTTCTGTAAGGTTCTCCACTCTTTACAGAAGAGCGCTGGAGCTCAGACAGAGTGACCATCGGGTTATTGTCCAGCAGCACACTGCCAACATATCAATGGAGCAGCTTCACAACAACTGGGTGAATGTCCTTAAGTGGCCCAGCCAGAGCCCAGACATAAATCCTATTGAGCATCTCTGGAGAGATCTAAAAATGGCTGTACACCATCACTTCTCATCTAACCTGATAGAGCTTGAGAGATACTGCAAACAGGAATGGGCAGAAATTCCCAAAGACAGGTGTGCAGAGCTTGTGGCATCATATTCAAGAAGACTTGTGGCTGTAATCACTGACAAAGGTGCATCAACAGAGTATCGAGCAAACCCTGTGAACACTGATGTTTTTACAGCTTTTTTATTTTTAATATATTTGCAACTATTTAAAAACTCTTTTTCCACCTTGTTATGGGGGATTGTGTGTAGAATGTTGAGGAAAACAATCAGTTTAATCCATGTTGGAATAAGGCTGTAACATAAATAAATGTGGAAAAAGTGCCATCAATACTTTCTGGATGTACTGTCCTATACTATATAACTGCTGGTTAACTATGTTTATATATAATAACTTTATATCCTAAAAGATATCAGTGACTAGTTGATTAGATTAAGTTATTAGTGACTAATAAAGTTATGGTAATTGTAACGAGGAGCCTGACGGCGGGATCCATTTGCAGTATTTAATAGACACAGTTCAATCACAATCATACAATACGCACTAAAGTGCGAACTCACATCAATAGTATGCAATAATGGTCGAAGGCCTGGCGGCTGACAGACACAGTGTGAGATAACAGGCATGGATCAGTGGCAGGCGGCGTGGTTCAGTGTCCAGATATCAGACGTGGGTCGAGGGCAGGCAGCATGGTTCAGAGTCCAGATAACAAGCAAGGTAGGGATGGCTGACGTGAAACTGATGTTTCGACACAGTGTCGAGATCCCGAAGCGCAAGTGTTTCGATACACTGCACCGAAGCATGATCCGAAGCACCCAAGTCACGTGACTAAAGTGTTTCGAAACACCTGGTCACATGACTAAAGCAATTCAAAGCATCGATCAGCTTAGAAACGTTTCGAGACATGGCGAATCCTCATTTGACTGCCAAGGTCATCAAACTATCTCTGTCTCATATGGCTTAGAGGACTGTGTGTTTGCTAATTGATTCTATGCTTTGCATGATGTTTTGGTTTCGAATCCCGACTTGTACAAATACTCTGAAATCATGGTTTTATGTATTTTAATCATGTTTCTGTTTTGTGTAGCCTAAATAGGATACAGCTGCAGTTACGCCATCAATTTAGCATCATTTTTGTAATACTGTAAAACAATAATAAATATTTTTACAGTATGGTTGGGTTTAGGGTTTGGGTAGACATTAATAAAATACAATAAATGTGAAATTTAATGAATAATATAAATAATTCTTGATAACTTCAGGCCACCGTTTTTGATCTAGCAACAACCCTGTTTTAAGACAAAAACAAGACATATTTATTCACATATTGTTCATTCGGATATCAGACCAATGTTGAAACAAAACGATACAAGAGCAAAGCATTACCAACTGGTATTAAAGCATTTCAAAACAACTGCGACAGCTTGGCTTCGAAACCTACTAACCCCGCATGGAAGTCTAACACCTTAACCACTGTACTATGTTACTTGAAGGATCATTTATACAAAGTTGGTTTTAATGCCTTAATTTGTTCAACTGTTCTTTGCTGAAGCTGTTTCAGTGCAATACATAAAAATGACCACTAGATGTCACTGTAGAGTGGGGTTTCGAAACGTTTCGAAGCTTTGACACATTTGCTTCGACTGTTTCAGTGTTTCACGAAGCCTCGCTTTGCCTACCACTAAAGCAAGGTTCGGGGCAGGCAACTCAGGGTCAGAAACAGGCCGGGGTAATACACAGGAGATCAAGCAAGGGAATAACGCTCAGAGATGTTAGCCGTGGCAGAACAAGACTTTGCACTGGACTGGTGTGTGAGTGTGGCTTATAACAGGTAGCGTGGGTCGTTAACGGGATTCAGAACAGGTGTGTGCGCAATCAGTTTAAGTGGATGATGTAATGCTAAAAGTCCGGTGATGGTGGCCTCTGCTGGCCAGCGAGGGGAATGACGGGGACTGAGTCGGTGACAGTAACTAATAACTTTCACTTCTCTGAATTTGATTATAATGCAATAATGTAAAGCTTTTCTGAAGCTGATTATAGTAATTAATTATTAAAACAACAATAAATAATTATAGTAAAAACTGTTGCACAAATAAAATTGAATTTAATTGATCTTTAAAGTCCAGCGTATTCCTCAGGTACGATGAGCAAAACCACAGTGTGGCATCATGCACCAGCGATGTGTTTCAGGAGAAGAAGGAGACTGAAGAAAAGCTGCAGAAACACACAGAGGAGATGAAGAGTCTGGACGAGGCCGTCAAGAAACTTGAAGACGAGCTGAAAGAAGTCTCCAGAGATATGGAGAGCACCCAGAACAGGATTGACGGAGTAAACGCCGAGCTGCAGGAGCACATGGAGAAGTGCAGCAAGAGGCGTCACGGGATCCTGAGGGCCCTGGTGCCCTTTTATGCAATCATTGAGGACGCTAAAATGAACCCTGCTGAAGAAGCTAAAACTCACTCTCTGAAAAGCCAACTCTCCGGACTGAACTCTGATAAAAGCAGCCTGCAGAGAAAAGAGTGGGATATCAAGGTCCGGCTCACCGACCTGCAGCTCAAACTGGCCAGCTCCAAAATACAGCTGGGTGAGTCCTAAGGTCTACACACACTGATGCCTGAAATGTTCATATGCACTATTTTGTGTACTGTTGTGAATTGGAGAAGAGATAGGGCAGCACGGTGGTGCAGTGGGTAGCACAATCGCCTCACAGCAGGAAGGTCGCTGGTTCGAGCCCCGGCTGGATCAGTTGGCATTTCTGTGTACATGCGGAACAGGTGAATTTGGTGAGCTAGTGTATGAGTGTTTTCCAAAGATGAGCTGCATCTGGAAGGGCATCCACTGCATAAAACATATGCTGGATAAGTTGGTGGTTCATTCCAATGTGGCGACCCCTGATTAATAAAGGAACTAAGCCGGAAATAAAATGAATAAATAAAGAAGAAATAGACCAGGAGACTTTTAGGTATCTTCAAAGCAGATTCCTTTAATGAGAACTCGCCAGGGTGGTGCGGTAGCGCAGTGGTTAGTGCTCTGGCCTCACAGCAAGAAGGTCACTGGTTCGAGTCTCGACTGGGTCAGTTGGTGTTTCTGTGTGGAGTTTGCATGTTGTCCCCGTGTTGGCGTGGGTTTCCCCCACAGTCCAAACACATGCGCTATAGGGGAATTAATTAACTCAATTGGCCGTAGTGTGTGTAGTGGCAGTATTAACCCTTTAGCTGTCATTTCTTACTGTAAACTTTATCTTACAGATTAGTTTTAATTATTTTTTCTGCATTTATATGACAGTGTCCCTTTCTTATTATTTAACATCACATACCAAACCATACCACAACTATAACCCTAAAACCATGCACTGCAAAAAATGCTTTTCTTGCTTAGATTTTTTGTCGTGTTTCTAGTCTAAATATCTAAAATTTCTTGTATCAAGACGCATTTTTTAGACAAGCAAAACATATTGTCTTGTTTTGAGAAATAATATGCCAATATTATGTGAGTCTTTCCTTAAAACAAGCAACATAATCTGCCAATGGCGTAAGCAAATTAATCTTGTTTTTTTCTTTTGACGTAAGATTATTTTGCTGACCCCATTGGCAGATTATTTTGCTTGTTTTAAGGAAAAACTCACTTAATATTGGCATATTATTTCTCAAAACAAGAAAATATGTTTTGCTTGTCTAAAAAATTCTTCTTGATTTATTTAATTTTTAGATATTTGGACAGTGTGATATGTACCAAACCGTGAGCAATATATCAGTTCTCTTTAGCAGATTAATTCTCCTTTGTGTTTAGATGTTTGTCTTGTGCATTTAGTTTTTTAATACACTTTAAGCTTGGATAGCTCTGCAATGTTTAATGTGCTATAAACATAAATCAGGATTACTTACGTCCTTATTTACAATAAGAGCTGCACAATATATCTAAAGAAATATGGTTATAATAGCATATATGCAATAATCACATCACAGAGAAGTGCAATATTTAGCTTACCCATTATTTGGTAACTCTTTAGAATAATGGCCCATAAGTTAGTGTATTTAAGTCTGAATAATCTTATCTTGTAAAGTATTTGTTAATCCTATAGTTCAACATTAAGTAATGCATTATTAAAATCCAAAGTTGTGCTTGTTAAAATAAGTTAATGCACTGTGAGTTAACATGAACTAACGTTATTTAACTTGTATAACAATATGGTTAACCTTAGCTAAATAAATACAGTAATAAACGTATAACTCATTGTTTTTGTTTGTGATACTAAATATATGAACTAAAATTAACAAATGAACCATTATTTTAAAGTGTTAACAATTATTTTGTTTGTTTTAAGGAAGAATTTTCCTCATTTTGACTCATTATTTCTGAAAACAAGACTATATTTTGTGCTGGTCTAGAAAATGCTTCTTGATTTAAGAATTTTGAGACATTTGGACTAGATAGAAGACAGAAACTCTGAATAAGAAGAGCATTTTTTTTGCAGTGTGTTCATTACAGCTTGAGTCTTATATGTGTTATACGTGTGTCCAGGTGTGATTCCCAGTCCTGTGCACCTGAACGATGTCCAGCAGTGTCTCTCTCGAATCATGGATATTCTGATTCAGTTGAAAAAGTTCTGGGAGAAAGTGGGCACGACGCTGGACACGCTGAAGAAGAAGACCTTCGTTAATGAAGATCTGATCGATGACCTGGAGGACATGAAGGAGGAGTTTCTGGAGTCTGTTGAAGCTGCAGGACAGGTACAGTAGCTTGATGATGAGCACTTTTGAGAAATTAATTCTGTCATATAGATGATGTTAATGTCCTGGCTAAAATTATCCATATCCAATCCCATCACTTTCCCAAATCAAAGGGTTTCCATTGTATCTGCATATCGATATTTGGGAATGAGTCCGGACTCTCATCTTACATATTGTGGTTATGTGAGCATCTGTTTATGGGAAAATTAGGACAAATTTGTCTCTTTCTGTTTTAGAAACTTATCTTCATGCCATTATTTTGTCCACCTTGTCATACTGTTTGCCTGTTGGGTCTCTCACAACAAATAATACAGTATCTTGGAGCCAATAGCTAGGCTGTATAATAGTGCCTATAAGATCCACAATAGACTTTCTTCAATAGACTTGCTCTATTACTCTAATGCTTTATTATTTTTAATGATAAAACTGTACTACCATATTTTAAATGGTGCTACCTCAGCAGCCTTTTGTGCTCTGGTACCAAAACTTAATACTGATCGTTCCACCAGATCTGCAACAAATGGATGTTTGACGTTACCTGCTTTTAAAAACTGTTATGGACAGAGATCTTCTTTTTATGTATTCACAACAGCCTGGAATGAGATCCCACAACATCTAAAGACAATACCAACACTGAGACTTTTTTTAAAAATCCCATGCTCGTCATCTGATGGTCAACTATTGCTGTAGCCACTGAGATAGCAGCCCGTCTCTCTTCATGTTGTATGTTTGGTGATTGTTTGTACTGTTCTCATGTGCTGATGGATGAGTTGTTAGGGGTGTCTGCATGTTTCTATGTTCTACAGAGCAGGAACCTGCTGAAAAACCCAATTATTTTTTAATGTTTTCCTGTTTAAAAAATGTAAATAAATAAATAAACGTGGGCATCACGGTGGCGCAGTGGGTAGCACGTTCGGCTCACAGCAAGAAGGTCACAGGTTGGAGCCTCAGCTGGATCAGCTGGCATTTCTGTGTGGAGTTTGCATGTTCTCCCCATGTTGGCGTGGGTTTCCTCCAGGTGCTCCGGTTTCCCCCACAGTCCAAACACATGCGCTATAGGGGAATTGGGTAAGTTAAATTGTTCGTAATGTATGAGTGTGAATGAGTGTGTATGGATGTTTCCCAGTGTAAAACATATGCTGGATAAGTTGGCGGTTCATTCCGCTGGGGTGACCCTAGATTAATAAAAGGACTAAGCCGAAAAAAAATTAATGAATGAATAAATAAATTTCATCTGCTTTCACACAGATTTTGAAAATTCTGAAATATTTTAAGAGGTGAAATCAGAATTCAGAGATGAATCAGAACTGTGAGGTGTAAATTCAAAATTCTGAGAAAAAAAGCTTAATTGCAAATCTTTTAAAAAATCAGATTAACAAGTCAGAATGATGAAATTTAAACTCAACATTCAGGAAAAAACTCAGGATTGCAAAACCTAAAAAGCCTAGACTTTTAAATAAACTCAAAATTAGGAAAAAAAAACTGAATTGTAAAACCTAAAAGTTTTAAATACAGAAAAAAAGTCGGAACTGCAAGATGTAAACACAGAATTGTAAAACATTAAAGAATACAGAAAACGTCAGAACTGTGAAACCTAAAAAAACCTTATAGAGCCAGAACTGCAAGATCTAAACTCAGAATTCAGAGAAATAAAAAGTCAGAATTGCAATATCTTACAAAAAAAAACATTCATTTTCCTTTGGCTTGTTCCGGTTATTCATCAGGTGTAGTCACAGCAGAATGAACCGCCAACTATTCCAGCATATGTTTACACAGCGGATGCCCTTTCAGCTGCAACCCAGTACTGGAAAACATCCATACACACTCATTCACGCACACTCATACACTACGGCCCGATTTAGTTGATCAGTTCCCCCTATAGCGCATGTGTTTGGGACTTGTGGGGGAAACCGGAGCACCCGGAGGAAACC